TGTGTTTGTATGTGTTTTTCTAACCATAGAAAACATTATTTTAGTGAATGTTCAAATACACAGTGGTACTGTCTGCTTCTTCAGAGGCTTCTGTGACAATAGGGATACAGGCTAAATGTACCATGTGTTACGTTGAATCAGGTTCCAGGGAGAGGGCTGTGTATCACTGAGGAGAAAACAGACCTTTGCTTTCAGAAAGATAATCTGGGACAGATTTAGTTTATGCTTTTGGCAAACTTTTCATCTTTTCAGTTGAATTAGTGACAATTACTTGTTGCATTAGAAGACTATGGTAATGACTTCAAAGAGCTGTAACAGCTTGTGCGCGCCTGTAGTCCCAGCTACTTGGTAGGCAGAGGCACGGGAATCACTTGAACAGGGAGGCGGAGGTTGCAGTGAGCCGAGATTGTGCCACTAGACTCCAGCCTGGGCAACAGAGTGAGACTCTGTTTCAAAAAAAGAATATCTTAAAATGCTTTAGCAATTCAAATTAGCTCCAGTATATCTTACTTATTTGGAGTTAATACTTTAATGATACAAGTTGGCCACTTTTGCTTATTAATTTTAGGAAAAAACCTCATCTTAATTACTTTTCTGTGGAGAAACAATTATAACCTGTACTATATAACCATTTATATAATTTGTAACAAAGATATACCCATTCTTTGGAAGAGAGCTATTTGTGCTAGTTGTTTTAAGTATGTTTATGTGTGAACCTCTCTGGGAAGTTTATATTTTTTTGGCGACAAAAATTTTTTTTTTTTTTGGTCTGAAAACCGGCGGAATGGATTTTTTTTAGATACAATTTTTTTTAAAAAAGAAAGCATTTTCTCCCCAAATTAGGTCTGCCAGTGAAAGTAAGTATGGCCTGGTGTTCCTTGTGTTCTTTTGCACCCTTTGGTCAAGGTGGCTTGTTGCTGAGAGATTATGCACATTGGATTTCACTTCTAGATGCCTAAGCTCTATTTAGTAAGCTGGGTGAGTTTATGCAAAATAGCAACCCTGAAGTGGAAATATCCACACAGTTTAGTAGCTGCCATGAATATATCACACTTCAGACTCAATACACCATGAAGACATCCCCAATAGTTTCTAATCATTTACATATGTTCTTTCCTTAACAGCATTTGCATTATAATCACTTTATTCATAAATCAAATGGTCCATTTAAAAGATATTATATAGAGGAAAACTTATTTCAAGACTTGTTTACTAGTGTTTTTACTTAAGCTAACTCCCAAAGCCTATAAATAAAAAGGGTTGTTTTCATGTGAACTGTTTAACTCATCAGTTATATACAACGCATCTTGTGTAGAAGTTAGACCTCCTCCGAAAGAAATTTCCAGAAATTTATTTTTATTTAGGAACAACAGCTTAAGTTATAAGACACTCTAAGTGTGTGTATGTGTTTGTATGTGTTTTTCTAACCATAGAAAACATTATTTTAGTGAATGTTCAAATACACAGTGGTACTGTCTGCTTCTTCAGAGGCTTCTGTGTTATGTTGAATCAGGTTCCAGGGAGAGGGCTGTGTATCACTGAGGAGAAAACAGACCTTTGCTTTCAGAAAGATAATCTGGGAATCTAAAATACAATAATCCCACCACATATTGTTGTATCTTCATAAGGATGAATTACTAACATACTACTTTAATTTTATCCCTAAACTCACCTAGAGTCTAAAAGGAATTTTTACAATCCTCTTTTCCTTTTCCTTCCTTTCTTTTCCCTTCCTTTTCCCTCCCTCCCTCCCTTCCTTCCTTCTCTCTTTACAATCCCCTTTTCCTTTTCCTTCTTTTCCCTCCCTCTCTCCCTCCCTCCCTCCCTCCCTTCCTTCCTTCTCTCTTTACAATTCCCTTTTCCTTTTCCTTCATTTTCCCTTCCTTTTCCCTCCCTCCCTCCCTCCCTCTCTTCCTTACTTACTTCTCTCTCTCCCCTCTCTCTTTCTTTCTTTTTCTTGTTTTTTGATGGAGTCCTGCTCTGTCACCCTGGTTGGAGTGCAGTGGCACAATCTTGGCTAACTGCAACCTCTACTTCCTGGGTTCAAGCGAGTCTCCTGCCTCAGTCTCCCGAGTAGCTGGGATTACAGGCATGTACCACCACACCAGGCTGATTTTTGTTTTTTAATAGAGACAGGGTTTCACCATGTTGGCTAGGCTGGTCTCGAACTCCTGACCTCAGGTGATCCACCCACCTCAGCCTCCCACAGTGTTGGGATTACAGGCATGAGCCACTACGCCTGACCTAAAGTCTCCATTTCTCATAACAAATTCATTAAACCTATGTGTTAAGGGAAGAAAATTAGTAATCATAGTTCTTACCCAAAAGGAGTAAGAACAGGAGTAAGAATCAAATGCTATGGACTTAGTACATATGTGTAAAGGCCATTAGCTCTATAAAAATTTTAAGGTGAGGCAGGAGATTCATTCGATTCCACAAGTTTGAGCCTTTTTATGTTTCAGTGTAAGATGTTTATTTTATGTAAGTCAATGTGTGATAAAGTTAAATCCATGCAAGGAAGACACAGGCAGCTCAGTGGTTGGCTTTGGGGGGCAAAGGATGAAAGGAAAGCTGCTGTGCAGGCTGGAAGGGACAGGACAGTGGCTTTTTCTTCTTAGGAATCTTGGGAATTTTCTCAAGCTTCTTGGCTGCCCTGAGGAAGTAGTTTGACCTTTGCCTGGCTGCTCAGCAGTGGAATGAGATCCTGAGAGGTGAAACCAGCTGGACATCCTGGGTCGAGTGGGGACTTGGAGAACTTTTCTGTCTTACAAGAGGTTTGTAAAATGCACCAATCAGCGCTCTGTAGCTAGCTAGAGGTTTGCAAATGCACCAATCAATGCTCTGTGAAATGAACCAAGCAGCACTCCATAAAACGGACCAATCAGCAGGATATGGGTGGGGACAAATAAGGGCATAAAAGCTGGCCACCCCCCCAGCCAGCAGCAGCAACCCACTGGGGTCCCTTTCCATGCTGTGGAGATTTTGTTCTTGCACTCTTCACGATAAATCTTGCTGCTGCTCACTCTTTGGGTCTGTGCCATCTTTAAGAGCTGTAACATTCACCGCAGAGGTCTGTAGCTCCATTCTTGAAGTCAGAGAGACCACGAACCCACCCTAAGGAACCAACTCCGGACATAATCCCATCCTAGTGACTCCTCTCTTGCAAAAGGCTTAGAATATTTTGTTTCTAGTTTTTGTTTCTATATTGTTTCCATTGAAAAAGTATTATCTGGCAGAGTGTGGTGGCTCACTCCTGTAATTCCAGCAATGTTGAAGGCTGAGGTGGGAGGATCACTTGAGCCCAGGATTTCAAGGCTGCAGTGAGCTGTGATTGCTGCTGCTGCACTCCAGCCTGGGGGACAAAGACCCTATCTCAAAAAAAAAAAAAAAGCATTTAAGAAAACATTTTAACATTAACATTGTACTCTTAGTTTAAACATTGCATTTAGGCCAGGCACGGTGGTTCACGCCTGTAATCCTAGAATTTTGAGAGGCCAAGATGGGTGGATAGCTTGAGGCCAGGAGTTCAAAACCAGCCTGGCCAACATGGTGAAACCCCATGTATACTAAAAATACAAAAACAATTAGCCAAGCATAGGGGCAAGTGCCTGTTATCCTAGCTACTCGGGAGGCTGAGGCAGGAGAATCACTTGGACCCGGGAGGCAGAGGTTGCGGCAGCCGAGATCGTGCCACTGCACTCCAGCCTGGGCAACAAGAGCAAAACTCTGTCTCAAAAAACAAACAAACAAAACCCATTATTACATTTAATATTTAACATTAACATCATATATTATCAGTCTATCAAACATTACAATGATTAAATCCATGCCACGTCAGTACTAACACACTTAACTTGCACAGATGTAGACAGAATACAATTTGTATGAAGCATCTTAGAATAGGAATTCAGCCTCCTGAATCAGACATCCAGACATCCCCAAGGCTCTGTGAGGACAAGGGATTGTTTTGGGTTCAAGGCAAGGTAAACCACAGCACACTGATCAGGGACCAGTCACCACTTGGAGGAGATGATACATATCTGTTTCTAGAAGTTTGTTTTCTTCTATTATATGATTTAAAGAAAAGGCAGCCACAGTTCATATGGTGTTGGAGAATCTTGAAAAAACAAATTCACATTCTTTTCTCTCCACTTGATCAACAACTGTGTAATTCTAAATTCCTGGGAGGTATTGGGTTTGACTTTATTGGACTCAGCCCATAGTCTGAAATGAGGTGGTTTCTTTATTTGATAAGTTCCCTGACTAAAGTTTCAGCAACTGTTCTCAAAGAAATGCTATCTCTTTATCGTAAGAAAAGCTTTTCGTACCAAATTTTCAGTGTTCTGGTTGTTCCAAAATAGTAGGAATGGAAATGTTGGCTGTCAAAAAGTCCCTTCCTCTATTGGTGGAAAAGAAAAATAGTCTATTCGAATCATGAGAGGGATCATAGAGATTTCCCATTCCAAAGTCCCTTCCTTTTTCAGACGAGGAAACTGAGGCCCAGCGAGGTTAACTGAAACAATACTGAGGGCTTGCCCTGCATTTGGGATGGGAATGAGATCCCTGGGTTTTTAGTGAATGGAATGCGATTCTTCAAACATCCTGGCCCGGTTATAAAATGCACGTTAACTCCCTGATGAGGTGGAGAGGCTGGGAGCTTGACTGAGCGTTACTGTTCACAAGTGTATCTTTTTACTTAAGGATTAGGAACTGTGTGCTGACTTAGCCCAGGTGAGCTTTGATTTTGCCCTAGGTCAACATCGGAAACCACGTCTTTTATAGGAAAGCAATAGGAAAATCCCGTATGAGATTTCACATACATATTTATTCTCCTGATAAGACTCCAGGTTCCTGGTGTACTTGCTTTTGCTTCCCTGTTAATGATTTGATCGTGTTACCTCTCCTTTGTGATTTCGGCTTTTCTGAAATGATGTGAGTAATCGTCTAAGTCAGTCTCCCTTACTCGGTCAATAAATATTTGCTTCTGGTCTGTATTATTTTCTTTTTGCTGTTTAACATATAACTCTTTGTTGGTTATTATTTTTTTTCTGAGTGAAATTCACCCCACCTCTAAATGAAAGCTACACGAAGGCATCAGGCCTAGCTTAGTGTTTTTCACATCATTAATTCTAAGTAACATTTCTGAAGCTACTTGAAAACTAAAATTTTATAAGGTGAGCTACTGAAAAGTCATTACGTCAAGGCGTTAATGTATTGTCTTGGTAATGATAAATTTCCACGTGTCAGAATTGCACAGAGCAGTACAGAATTCCTATAGCCACACAAGTTCCTCTTTCCCAGGGATTTCTGTGTACAGATTAAACCTCTATAAAATAAAGCTGTCAAAAGGTGAAATTACAACCACTTTAAAGATCAAACTGCCTTTTATGTGTGATGCTAGAACGGGCAGCACCTCCTTCTATATGGTAGAGTAAGTGTTCTGATGGGTGGAGCAGAGGAGGTTTGCTTTATAGGCACAAAAAGGCTGAAGAGAGCAGAAATAAGGGACAAAAAGTGGATCGATCATTTCAAATTTACTTTCCCTACAGATGGTTAAAACAGAGGGGAACTTCCTTGTCACTCAGGCTCTGGTACACTAGGCTCCTTTCGACTGGTTGTTGTGTATCTTCTGTTTTGGGAAAACTGGCCTGTTTCAGAGTTCATTCAGATCTCGTGGCAATTAGCCTGAGTGACTCCATACTGGTTACTCAGGCTAATTGCTGGGGCCCAGAGTCAGAGCTCAGTCCAAACAGCCTCGCATAACTGTGTTTAGCAGACGCTGCCATTCCTTTCTCGGTCCCTTTTGTCTTAGAATCAATTGTCTGAATTACCAGGTATTGTCCTCTCCAAGGGAGGATCTGTCTTGAAAATTTCCAGCTAGTCCCCTTTTCTTAATAGTGGACATGTGTGTTTCCATAAGGAATGACTATGAATGGGCCAGTGTTTCATGGACCACGTCCTCCAAAACTCCGTGTATTTACTTACAGACGATGGGCCGGAACAGGTGGGAAACACTGCCTCTGGCTGGATTCCAGCCAGTCCATAGGATGACATTGCGTGGCCACTGGTCTTATGCCCAGTGTTTTCCCTCTGCGGCTACGCCTTTAAGACAGAAAACTAAAAGGCTTAAACCCAGTAGACAATTCCAAGAGGAAGCTACTTTCTTTGTTGTGCTTCTGTTGTTGACACTTCTGTTCTCAAGGTTAATTACATATTTGGTTAATTGATTTAATTGGTTAATTGGTTTGCTGGGCCTGCCTCCTTGGTAAGAATTCAAATGCAAATTCACACCGGGCTATGCCCTTTCATTGCTGGTGGCCTATAACCAAGACATACACACACTACTTAATTATAAGTGTTTGTTTTGGGGAATTTGCTACTTGTTCTCTGAAGCAGATTTTCTTTTACACTAGGAGAGCAAATGCCAGTTTACTGCCAATTCCAGAAGTCTGCTCTATTGCAACAAAGAAGGAGATGGGAATGGCAGGTTCTGGAAGCATGAGACGTCTCTGACGTCTGCTCTGATCCTCCCAGTGCCTGGTGGTTCTGGGGCCAGAACTGGCCACAGTGACTTGAAATGTGAAGATGTCCTCCTTCCAGGGTGTGTCATGTCCTCTCCACCTCGGCTGAGAAAACAAGAAAATGAAACGGGATTCAGAGCGTCAATTCTGAATGTTAGCACTTTCTGAATAATCAATAAAAAACGAATTCTGGCCGGGCATGGTGGCTCACATCTGTAATCCTAGTGCTTTGGGAGGCTGAGGCAGGCGGAGTGGTGGCACACGCCTGTAATCCCAGCTACTCGGGAGGCTGAGGCACAAAAATTGCTTGAACCTGGGAGGTGGAGGTTGCAGTGAGCGGAGATCACGCCACCGCACTCCAGCCTGGGTGACAGAGCGAGACTTCATGACAAAATTATACGGGGGCTTTTTTTTCTTCTTTGGAGACAGAGTCTTGCTCCTGTCGCCCAGGCTGGAGTAACCCAGGGTGCAACTTGCTAACGAACCTCTGCCCTCTGCTCAAGCCAATTCTCTGCTTTCCAGCTCCCCAACTATGCTGGGATTACAGCATGCGCTACATTCCTGGCCAATTTTCTTTGTATTTTAGTACAGACACAGGTTCTCCTGTGTCAGCTGGTCTTGACTCTGACCTCAGGGACACCCTCTCTCGGCTCCAAAGTGCTGGGATTACAGGCGTACGCCACCGCCCAGCCTAATTATCAGATCTTTTCATGTCCCTGCTTCTCATTGCAAAATATTCTTTAAAAAA